CATGCAAAGCTCTTTCCAGGATAGCAATCTGCTTCCTTAATTCTCCAGTGGAGCAGCCGTGGAAAGGGAAGCATTCATCACTCATCTGAACCATGCCTAGTTTTATGAACAAATGTTTGTTAGAATTTTATTGAGTAATCTCTCAGTTCTTTTTGTTTTCAAATAATAAGACCAGTAATCATGACACTGGAACATTGTTAGCACATCTCTGACCACCTGCAAACACTATTAGGCTGTGTGTTCCAGCTATGTCAATCTCACAAACCCAAAGTAAATTGTCTGAACAGAAAAGCTGACAAACACAATAAATGGTGGGAAATGAAGCAAAAAATGAGTCAGTAACAAAGTACCAGCACTTTCTGTGACAACTTACTCAGGCTACTGATATTGTTTCCAGCAATACAAAATAACAAAATAACAACAAACCCAACCCAAACAAACACAATTTTAAGAACAACAGCTGTTAATCAAACGATAAATACTTGGCATGATATCTAAGCTTTTGGGCTCAATCTTATCTCTGTTACTGGCATTGGGTTTCACGTCAAAGCAAGTTGAGAGGTAAACTGTCTACTTTCTTAAGCAGGGATGGTGGTTTAATAAGGGTTTACTGGTGGTTTAACAGGGCTTGACTTAGCCACTTGTGTGATTTAATTAGAAAAGAAAACCAGGTCTGTGACAGACAATTATATGCCTGCATGTGTACAGAGACAGTTGCCTACTGTCTTAAATAGATGACTGCACAGCTACAAATGCATTTAGCACTTCTCAGAAAAAATGGTAATATGAGTGTTTGTTTCCTCACCTGTAGAAAAAGGACAAAAAAAGACTTGGAAAAAAAAAAAACCAAAACAAAACAAACAAAACTGCTCCAATCCTACATCCCTATTAATCATGTTACTATTTTAGCTGCAATTTAAGCCCAGTTCATATGAGGTAATTAATCACCAGCTTGTTTTTTGCCTCAGAAATTCTTTGTAGTGCTTTCCATTCTAAAGTTGGTGCAAATAAGGACTTCAAAAGACATTCTTATTGAGAGATCAGAAGTCTGGAATCCATTTACTTTCAGCTTTCAACAGGACTGTCTTTTGAGTGAAACATTGTATGAGTGATATTTTGTTATTGATATAAATCCACTGGAATAAGACTAATAAATACAGAGATAGCACTAGTCTACATTCCTATTGCAGCTGGACAACAAATGAGTGTTTATTAAAGCAAAGCCATTTAATTTTAGGCTTCATGTTCCATCCTACACCCCCAAAGCCTTTTATGAAAAAAAAAAAAAAACACGTATTTTGTCCAGGTGTATAAAGTGAACCAAAGCAACATGCTCTGTTCTCCAAGCAACATGCAACCTGGAATCAAACCTACTTGACTCAGTACATAAGAGCAAGCAGGTCATGGGGAGCTATGTTTGCAGTAAGCATACAACAATATATTACATGGTTGTTGCCCTCAGCAATGACTTCTGACTCAGTGGAAAATCATTGCACACCTTTGAAACCGCCCCTGCTCCCATGTTTGAAATACAGTAGTTATTCCTTATACTGTTACTGAGGGAAATCAACTGACAGTGCAGAGAAAGCTCCTGTCTGCCCCTTTTAAACCCATGTTCACAGTACCTCAGAAAATGTGCTGCAGAATTAGAAACATCTCAGAAAAAGATAACCCGTCAAAAGAGCACTTAGGAATAATTTCTATGTAGGCAACAGGTAAGCAAGTAGTCCCCAATCAGTGCTTAGGAAGGATGTGACAAAGGGTTACAGATGTCTATATCACTGACAGCATTTAGAAATTGATTTGTTTGTGGTTTATTCAGTCTGATCATCTTACATCATACCAAGGCCTTAGAAAGGAGTTTTAAAACAAGCAAAGGAGCTAGGTTTTCTGTTCAATGTATTGCTAAAGCTATGGAAATCCATGCCAAAAGATGTTGCAGAAGCTAGAGCATCTCAAAGTTTCAAGGGCACACTGGGGAAGTTTATGAAGAGAAACATATTTAAGATCATTGAATGTTAAGAACGCTTCTCAGAAAAGGTCTTCCTTTCTTTCACCCACTAGAGGCTCAAGTAGCTGAAGCACTGTGAGACTGCTTGGAACAAACATTGAAACATTTGCCCTGATGGGCTACTTCTCCATACACGTTTTTGACCACTGTCAGTTGGCACGCTGGGCTAGATAGAACTCTGCTGCCCTGTGCAGAAACTCATTACATTACCATGTTATATTCATTGCACACAAGCAAAAAGCACTAAATTTTGTCATGCACTGGAGAACACACTTTTAGTAAAGCACTCATATGGGATTGTGTATATCTGTCTGTAAAATCTGTTGAAAACTACTGAAAAAAAAAATCACCCTGTGATTTACTGGTACCATTTGAAAACCCTTCACTCTTATTTCAGTCCTCTGTTCCACACTAGATTCAAAAAAATACTTAACAATTTCTAGAATCTGCAGAAAATGTCAAGGCTTATAGGAAAGCTATTTCTAAAAGCGCATGTTCTTAAGATCCTCTGTCTACTTTTGATCAGATTGTGTGGTAGAACCTTATCTAGTGAATATACACCACACACAGGATTATTTTTTTTAGGATACAGTACATATGATCCTTATTACTAGAGGAATAGAGCCTTCACAAAAGTCACAATTAAAAACTGTCAGTAGTACTCAGGTCCTCTTTTCTTTCAGATGAAGTCTTAGGTTTGCCATTTTCATCTATATCTAGGCCCTGGAATGAGGAGTGAGCTTTAAAAACATTCAGAATACAGCAGATCTACTCTTTAGTTATTATAGAATTTAATACTTCATCTCTTAGGGTATAATCTCAGAACACTGCTGTGCATACCTGCGTCCCCAGGAATATAAATGTCCCCATTTGGAAGTAAGAATGTGGACCCAGGATGCAAAAGTTCTCTACATCCTCCAAGCCTCAGTGAAGCCACATACATCTGGAAAAAAAGCAAGCATCTATGGTAGGAAATTGAGAGCATAGCGGCGACTGTTTTAACTACCTTTCCCCTTGCAGATTATTCCTGATCAAAGATTCCAAAATATTTCCTACAGGTTTGCATAATCTATCCTGGCACCTTCAAAATTAGCAGGGTATTAAAGAGTAGTAAAGAAATATAGATCCTATTTGAACTAACAACCATGGTAGCATTTAGTGTTTCTCTGGCATGCCTAAACCTGTACCTAGCTGCTAGAAAAGTGCCATCCAGCAAGGTGAAGAAGCCACACAGGCAGATGTTCCTCCAGGACAGACTGTTAATGCAATAACTACAGTCCAAAAAAATGCATCCTAATGGCAAACATCAACTAATTAGGCTGTGTAAGTCATCCAAAAACATCATACCTGCTCCTATCTGTTGGCAACACAAAGACTTTAATAATCTTTCTAGGCACTTTTCCCCAGTATCTTTTCTGCTTAGACATCCACTTCAAGTACTCAGTGTAAGAGATTATTAGCATCCTATTTAGCACACAAATAATTATATACAGCTGTTTAAAAACCAAATCAAATAAACAAACAAAACTGGCTATTCACTTCAAGGAATCAGTTCAAGGACCAGGATATTTACTTGATCAGATAAATGACTGAAAACCAGTAGTTCTTGATGTATAGAACAAAAATACTAAATATTTTTAAGACAGATACAATAATGTTATCTAGTAATAATATCAAGGAAAGGCCTACATTTATTTGTACATACATTTCTATGGAAGACAGTGGGATGAATCTTCCAGCAGCTCAAACAAAAGTCATTGCATAGATCTTTTTTTCATCAGAAAACTGAAATAATAACCGTAATAATAACAGAACAATCAAGTCCAACATCTGCTTTACTTAGCATAAGTCACTGCCAAATCAGTCATACCACTGTGTACATTCATATTCACATTCTTATATATGCTAATATTCACACTCTAAAGATAAAGAGCCAGAAGTACAGAATGAATGAAAAGTAATTTTGCACATTCAAATCTTCAGCCTTATCTTTTACAGGTGTCTTTAGGTACGGAAACTCAGTTTCCCTGTCATGGCTTTTGGGGAGTAGCAAACATTGGCCTCTATCTCTGTAAATAGGAAGAGCTCCCTGCTCTGCTCCTGGAAACCAACATATCTGCTCTAGAATGAACTTTGTTCATTTGACAGAACCAATTAAAAATGCATCATGATTTTTTTGAATACTCATCACAGTGAAACAAAGATTAATAGTGAAATAATGCACAAGTATCTGAATGTGCTGTGTCTTTTATCCAGTGTTGATTTTTATGAAAATTCCATTAAGAAAATTTGACTCCAAATGTCTAGAACTCACCAAAATTTTTAACAATTTTTGCTACAATTTGCTGTTTATTAGTTTTGTCCACCGTCTCAGTCAACATGGGATTATTAATACAACTGTTAACAGAATAAATTGCCTCAAGCACTAAATTTATACATTTGCTCTTAGAACACATGGGTTTTGAGTTGTTTTCACATCTCTTCCCAAAAGCTTTACCTTGGATACAGCCCCTGGTTTAGTACAAGGTAATGGGCTGTCCTGGTTACACCTACTCCATGCATAGAATCACACTGAAATATAGAAGAAAGCAAACCTTATATTTTCTGTCATTTGGAATATATTGAGGAAACCACAAAAAATACAGAACACAACTTGCAGCTTTAAAGCCTAAAAACATGTCATTGAATTCACAGCTTGAGAAGTCAGACATGAAACACAAAAATCTGCACAAAGCTCTGGTACACAAAGTATTTAATAAAAGGAAGCAAAAGAATTGGGAAACTCCTGAGAAATCTCTGTCTGTGTCACAGTGATTAGATCTTTCAGGGCCTTACTAATGCGTATCATGATGAAAAACAAGCACCCAAAAGCAGAATTTACAGCTCTTTTCAGTAATTTATCTTTTAAAGCTCCAGAGGGGTAATTTAAAACCCCAACCTGAAAGAAAATCTTTAGTCTGTGGTTACAAATATACTCACAAAAAAGTAAACCATGATTTATCAGTCTTCTTTATTCAGAACTTATTTAGCAGACTGACCAAGAACAACATTAATTCCATTTTATTGACAAAGGAAAAGATTCTACTGAAAGTAGAGGAGCACAAGTATCTTTATGGTAGATTAAAAAAAAATAGGGTTCACAGAATTTCAAGCTGCTGAACAAACACAACAGATCTCATATACATACACATACATATACATGTATACACACACATACACAGATCCAGTAAGATTTTTTAATTTTCCCCTGAAGTGAGCTTGAATATTTCATCGAAAATTTTCTATTGAAGAGGAAAAATACTTGGGTTTTTTCTAAAGTAATTCTCTCCAATGCTACTGAAAGTTAGCTGCAACAAAGGTAAAGTATTCTTCCCTCCCACATAATGTAAGCAGAAAAGAAGCTTTAGAGGATTTCACTGAAGGCGGTAAAAGTCTAACATAACAAATTCAATTGTAATTATCTGTACATTTATCTTTCTGTCATGATTCCACTTGGGACAGTCAGTCAGCTTCCTGCACACTTCTGAGTGCATGCAGAGAGTTCCAGAAGGATGGGGAGGCAACAGTGCAGAATATTCATTCACAGCAGGAAAGAAGTTGCCTTCATCAAGCAGCATTTCCACCACCTGCACCTTGGAGATACCAGAAAGCAAACTCTTTCTACTTGATATAAAACAGCTACTGTTAATGCTACAAAAATAATGTACAAAGGGTCTGGCTTGCAGATTTCATATAAAAAGCTAGTTACATGTAAATGACCACCTCCTAGAACATAGGCAAAAGAGAAATCTTAACAAACACAAGAAGAGAGGGTTATAGTAAAATTTAAACCTGGCATTACATGTGCATTTCTAGTATTTAACAAAACAGAACTTTTACTTCCATTGTAAAACTCAGTAATGCTTTTTGGCAACATTCTTCAAATCTTATTAAGGTATTTAAAGCACCAATAAGTGATGAAGTAGCATCCTTCTTGAAATCCTGTATGTTACGATTACATTGGTCAAGGATGTTTCTTTTGAATTTGAAAGTCTAGAAGTAATATTTCTCACTGTTAATAGTGAACAATTTCCATCTGTTTTACACCAAAGTTCAGTACTGTAGAAGAACAGTGAACATTACAACTCACAGTTGCAAGTTTTAGTATTATTTATTGTTTACTCTTACTGGACTTTATATATACTCATTGAGACTTGCATAATAATCTTTAAGTGTTTTCCATTAATGACCCTCCCTCTTCCCAAGAAACCACATTGGTCACAGATGAACAGCTGGCTTTCTGAAAGACCTCACAAACTTTTCTGACTACTCAGCCTGCACTTTTATGTAATGTTTATTACATAAACACCTCTCAATACCCATTCTTTTTCCTTCATAGTGAAAGCTGAATACTATTAAGTAATAGTCGGAAGCTTGAATAAAGAATAGGAGCCCTCTGCCACACAACTGGACATTCATTTCTGGTCCTTCTTAACCTCTAGGTTTTTATGGAGTCTCTTTCATGACAACACTTTGGATCCCACACCTATTGCTATGTACCTTCCTTACTATTTTACTGTAAAGCACTTTATAACATGAACTTCCAAACATCTCAAATACTTTGCCACAACCATTTCTCTGTTGACAAGAATTATGGAACATGAGAGGGAAGAGAAAATGCCATTATATGATAATAATCTTTGAGAGGCCTTGGATATCTGAAACACTTATCTTTACTAGTTTTAAAAGTGCCTTTCTCTAAGAGAAAAAGTTAATTAAAAAAAAAAAGGAACATGGAATATAAATGTTTTTATTACATTTACAAGCATGAATACCAGTTCTTACCAGCTTCAATGATTCATATATATGAGGTGAACCCACTACTCAGAAAGACAATACACGCATAAATATTTATTGTTTATTATTTATTCAGCATCAGAATTATGACTGATGTTAAATAAAAGCAGTGCCCAAAGACTAGAATCAGAGACTAGAATTCTATGCGTGATTCATGTATCTTATTCAGTATATTCCACATACTTTCTTCACAATCACAAAGCTCTTTTATCTCATGTTTTGTACACACTTGCTTCCATATTTCTTCAAACCTTTCATCTGCAACATTCATGCCCATATTGTGGAGAATTTGTTTAATCTACAAAAATAATACAAAATAATGCAATTCATGTAATTCTAATCAATATTTTGTTAAATTATACAGTGTCTGGCTTTTACATATTTAGCAATCTCTATTTGCCAAAGAATATTTTCCCACTCTTAAATTAAAACTACAGGCCACATCCTGCATCCTTAATGAAGGAAGTTCCTATTTAAGTAAATCTGAATCTTATTGTAATGAAAGTTGTACAAAATTGTCTGTAATTAATACAGTAATGTTGATGCACTACTTCAACACTGGGAAAAAAAATCAAATACAGAAGACTCAGGGAAAAGTAAATGTTTTTTAAAAGCCCTACGTAAAGTTCTGTTTATCCACTCTATTTTTTGCTGTCTGCAGTTACCAACGTAAGTCGGATTATATTATCTGCATTTCACAGCAAGAGTACTATATACAAGGTCATCAGCTGCTATAGACAAGTGGGTGATGTGACTAAAATGGAATGGTTCACATCAACTTTCAGCCTTGCTATAATTTTTACACCAAAATAATTCAGCAGAAGGGATTTTTTCCATATTTTCTCACTTGGGTGCTTCCTGTTGCATGCCTCATTACATTGACCTGTTGACTCATTAGTGGAAGGTAACTTTAGAAGAATATTGATGTGCCCTGTGCCTCTGTTAGTATCAGCAAACATTTGGCTTCTTCAATTGTATCATGTATGTGTGTGTACATGTGTGCTATATTTATGCTATGGATACTTTATGCATGCTTTGATAAAGACCTTTAACACAGTCAAATCAACCTTGTTGATCATCTTTCTCTAAAACTGTCTTTTGTATAAATATAGGCCTGATCCCCCATACAGCAAATCTTCAGCTTCATTTTAAGCAATAAATCTGTGAGAGTTTGTGCACGCTGAAATTTCAGGAGGTAAAATGGGACTGAACACTCTTTCTTTAAGTATAGGTATTGTTTCAGTTAAATCAATCATATTACCCACAAGTAAAACAAACCAGATCTAATCCAGTGTCTTCAACAAGCTAGTGAAATATAGAAGTTAAACTAAAAGTAATATTCCTTCATAGGACAACACTGAAGGGAAAATAAAGGACTACATGCTCTCTTAATTTGGCTTCACCATATTAAGAGAGAACTCTGTCCTTACTCATCAACTGCTGTAAAATCATCACTGACAAAACCACAGAACCCAAAAACATTGCGTGCAGTCAGGATAAAACTCACTTTCACCTATGATCAACAAGATCATGCAGCATACAAATTACACACTATTCCTCAATTACGTAACTTCTATTCTCTTCAAGAGACTGGAGAGAATTTCAGTGAAAAAACCAGCAATCCCAAGAACTACTTTGTTCTTTTCCAACAAGATGAGTCACCTCATGAAACTATTTTATAGTCAGAATTTGCATTAATTTCTACCACACTATACAAACACGGTATTAAATTACTCTGAGCTTTCATCTAATAATAATATCATATAATCTTATAATATTTTTATTAACCATGAAAGTTTTGGAAACATTAATTATACATATCAAAACAATAATTATAAAATGTCCAAACAGCCGATTTCATGAACATAGGGTGTTTTAACACTCAGAGGTGGTTCTGAACTGAATTCTATATAGCTGGTGTAGTCTACAATAGAGTATGACATCTCAGGACATGTTGTAACTTCAAAGACCAGTCCTATCTAGTGCCTGACAGATGTAATTGGCAGATGTAATTGACTTCTCAATGAAGCATGAATTCCATTTACTGTTAGCTATTTGCTGCATGCACGCATTTCCTGCTTTCAGAGCTAGATTATAAAGTGTTAAATGCTCATGTACGCAACATTCTGACAAGGCGTTTGATGAGCATGACACCACATATTTTACCCCCAGTCACTAACTAGCAACACTATTTTTTGTAAAATATATATTCAAGTTCCAGATCCACTTCCAAACATGACTGCTGAATATTTAATATAATGAGAAGTAGAGAGGAAGGGGTTGCCACAGCTTCTTTTCTTGTTTCAGATTGGAATTTCACATCTCATTACAATTGTCTAATAAATTGTATTACAGGTAACAAAGTTCTCTCTCAATATTTTTTCACTATAAATTGTACCCAAGTATAAAATAGTGGTAAACAATACTGAAGAGGAAGCAGCAAAGTTGGTTTAGTATTTATGTGAGAGAAACTCTGGTCTGTGAGAAAAGAGAGTGATAGGAGGCTGAAGATATATCAGAAAAATCATGGAGTCCCCAAGTTCCTAGAGTCTCATGTCCCACGTTTGTCTTCAGAATTATGAGACAGCACAGCATTGCTGTGTGACTCCCAATGTCCTCCATCACTGTACAGATCCTTTGTAGACCTGAGCCTACAACCATGACTCATTTTTAAGGTACTTTCAAGTGGTTTGCTTAATCTGTCATTAGAAAAACCTGCCAAGTTTGTCTAAGGAGAGATGCTCCCGGTAAAATTTTCCACTAAACACCCCTCTGTGATAGAAATTATTTTTATACACCTGTAAAAATCTTTTTGTATGGCTTTTTAAGACATTTCATGGAATCATAGAATAACTTAGATTGGAAAAGATCTCTGGAAATGATTCATTCAATGATATAATCTAACTTTACAATTAAACCATGTTGCTTGAGATCTTGCTCAGAAATTTGAATAGGTTGGATCTTAATAAAATTAATATCTACCGTCTTTATTAATAATTTCAAATGCGAAGAGTACATAATTTTCAGCTGAATGGATGTAAAGCAAGATGGAAACATTGCACTATAAATTTTACTGCCTGTTTACTTGCTGGTATGACTTCCCACTCCCACATGGCTAGCAGAACAATTATCTTGGAAGAATATTCTGAAGAAATTCACTATACCTCTGCTTTTGGTCTGTTTTTTAAAAGATCTTTTTCATACACTCCCTTTTGACTGAAGACAGAAGGGAACAATATTGTAAAACCATTGCCCTGGTCACCATAATTAGTTGTGTCACTGAGGCGGCGAATTCGAGGAGCAGGAATATCTGAACGAACAGTTGGAACACCACACAATGGATAACCTGTGAAAATCAATCAAGAGGCAGCACGGATAAATAGTCCAGGGAGGATAAAACATTTTGCATTAAATAAGAAGAAATGTGATGCTTGACATAGGTTCAATAACAAGTTATATAATTTTCTTCCTTGTAACTTTTTTTGCATTTTTAGAAATCCTGGCTTCAGCTACATCATGAAGTGTGGAAACAAGGAATCTTGAAGTAATATACTAGTACTTACTTACCTACTCAGTATTCCCAGCTGAAAGTATTTTAGGTGATTCCAAGGAGATATGGTTCTCCCAAAATTACTAGCATAATTTCTCAAATACATCTATATTAATTCCAAGGTTTTGAATAGACTATCCCTTCCAACTTCCAAGTCTCAATCTTAAAAAAACTTAGATAAAGTAATTCACTATTTTACATTAGTAGAACCTGTAGCAATACTTAACTTTGCTCCTAATTTTGTCTTAAATAATGCTCAGAAGTGAGCAGAACCGTCCACTGTACTTACAGGATGTTGGGATACCACCTACGACAGCATTATACTGAGAAGATGTTGTTTGATAATTTGTATATACACGGTCTGTTGATCTTCTAAGTGGTTTTGGCATTTTTTCTGAGCTTCCTGATTCTTTTAACTTGAGATATTCCTGTTCTAGTAGTGGCTCATCCTCTTTCTTTGTGTCTTTGTGAAGACAGGCATCTAATTTTTTCCCTATATACAAAAGGTATGGTTCAGCCAAGATATATTATCAACACATTATACACTAAGAGGCAAAAAACTTTTCTTGAAGAACTGTGAAGGAGGTTACATAATTCAATCTACATTTCTGATAATGCTTATAGGGATGTTTTACTTTCTGTTGATCTGTATTATTAAGGAAACTTGCCAGATATAATCTCAGCATGCAACACAGAAATTCAGGATTCTGAAATGCAACTGTACCTGAGACTTTGCTGGTAATTAAATCACTCTCTAAATCCTACCCTTCTAAAGGAGCACCTAGTCTACAACATCAATGTCCTCTAAATTCTATTGTAAGAAAAAGACCATCCCCACAATTTTCCAGTATTAAGGCATCTACCTTTTGTAATTATTTTTTCTTCAAACTCTTTAACACCCATTTTATCTTTCCAGTTCAGAAAGTTCGCAAAGTCCTGGTAATTAATCAGACCATCCTTATCCAAATCACAGCAGTCAAATAAGGAATCCAGGAGCTCATCATCTAGATTCACATTCAGCTGAAAAAAGATCTTTCGTAGGTTATCCTTGTGTATGATTCCATCACCATTCTAATACAAAGAAAATAAAACAGTTGTTATAGCCTATGATTCTCTAACAGCCATCATAAAGTAACCAGCAAAAGAAACACGTATGTATTCATACAGATAGATATATAGATATATATACAAGTAGCACCAGACACACCATTTCAAGAAAAGTAATATTTCTGAGTACAAAAATAAACCCTAAGTAATTTAAGAAATTAGAAGTCTGAATAGAAAAGTGTCAAAAAGTAATTTTCAACTTAAATAATACAGAGATTTGAGAGTAAAGGTGTGACAGGCTGTTGTGACAAGATAACAATCTAATCATGAATGTTGAGGAAAAGTCAAGGTGTCTTTAAAAGTAAGACATCAATCATTCTGTATACATTACAATTAATGTTATATATGAAATGTCAGTTACAACTTTTTTCCAGAGAGAAAAAAAAAAATATCTGAAATTCTGATGCTTGGCAACTCAGTCAAAAGGTACAGCTTGGAAGAAAATATGAACATAATCCCTTCCACTCTTTTCCCTTTACAAAGAAACACCAGATTTTGAAATCCAAAAATTGTTAAGATGACTCCTGCTTGTGTGTCCCTTGCTCCCTCTAACCCAGATATTACAAATGATACTATGAAAAGCTCCAAATAGTCTTGTGTCCAATTCCATAGCATATCACAGTGAATGAAACATACAGTAACTATGAAGTTATCTTCACAGTTATAGTCCTCATCCATATTTACCTTGCTATGTTAGTGTTTCTTCATGTCTGTATCTCTATAGCACAGGAGCACTAATGTCATACATTTCTTTACATTTACACCTTTTCAAAGCACTAACCTTATCAAAATGTCTTAATGCTTCTAGTAACACATCAAAATTCTCATAGTTAGCTTTCTTCAGACTTTGCCGAACTGCAATCAAGATAACTCTTTCTCTGCCCTTCCCACGTAGGAACTCACATGGAACCCGGACATGAAGAAGATCATGAACATCTATAAAAATTAACAATTCCTCAATTAGTTGTGTATCTACAATAAAAAGATATTTATTGAAAAAAATAGAAAAGTTTGCATTTATAAGGAAAAGGCGAATTTCAGTTTCAAGATGCTGATTTTCAGCACTGCTGAACAGCTGATACAGACATTTCATTACAAGATCAAATTTGTATCATATCATTATTTCTCTACACACACACAGTTAGTATCGAAGATTTTGGAACATCATAATGTAGCTTCACAAATCTATCCAATGATTCCAAAGCTTCTAAAATCAGTAGTTGTTACTCAATGTCCAGATAATTGAAAAAAAAAGAACATATTTTATTCATCTACCACTTCCAGTCTGTCATGTTCCAGATACTTATGAGAGCCAATTTAGTATTTTGAATAATTACTTATCACTGGTTTCTAGAAAGACAATGCACTATTTTTATGTTACTGTTCCCATTTTCTATGTATCTTAACATTATTAGTGTTTTAAAACGCTTTAGCACACTGAGCTACAATCTTCATCCAAATTCCCAAGATGCCAAGGTCACCTTCTAGAGTGCAAGAAGTTCATTCAGAGCTCAGTAACAAACATGAGTAGCTCACCTAATCCCCCTCTAACAGCAGTGTACAAGCACTGTTTTCTACTTAATTATTAATTCTGAATTTATTATGAATTCTTTTGTTCAGTTCTTTCTGCTCTTCCTTATAGCATGAACTTCAGTACACTACATAGTAAAATGTAAAACATGTAAAAGCTTATGCAAGCTTTCTATGGCCCAGATTAACTGAATGACTTTGATCCACTTCATTTTTTTGCTTCCCAATTATTGACTGTATTCCCTAATTATTAAACATAATGTTAAAACATCATCAATCCCAACACTATTTGAGTTGACTAGCTTTCAAAATTTTGTCATAATGAAAATTAATTATTTTTTTTATTCTTACTCTGCTTTCTATCTCCTTGCAACCTTCAAAAACTTATTATTCCTATTTATTGCTTGTTATTTTATTCTTTTTACAGAAGTGCTTGAGATATCATTGAGAGGGAAGATGCATGATTGATTTAAATAGCCATTTTAATTTGTCACTTTGATGTCAATAAGGGTTTTCTGCCACTTCCCATTTTGTTACATTCAGATACAAAGGCTTTAAAAAAAAAAAAATACCAGCATGATCATAATCCCAAACATAAAGCTTCTTTATTTTTGACATTTACTTTTTAACCACTAGCAACTTCAAAAGCACTCAAATTTTCATTTCAAAAATTTACTGTCAATATATTTTTGTACCTTGCCTCTAAAATTTTAGGAAAACTGTATATACAACCAACAGTTATTACTTCAGCAGTTTCATCAGCAAAACAAGATTTTACTCTGCCCTTAAACTTACCATATTCATCTGGAGGGATCATCAATCCAAATGTATGGTCTGGGGGAACATTCATAGTTTCTGCTATACTGTCAGTAAGGACATTTTTTTGTTAATTGTCAAACAGTTTATTAATAGCCAAAATAAAACCTCAGCTACTGTTAAAAAAAAGCAATTATGTAACAGGGGTGATAGTCATAGTTCACCCGAAATTTTTTTACCAGGACTTTGTTTCAACATTACCATTCCAGAAAAAGCATCCCTTTACAAAGCTGATAAGAACATTCACTGTTTGTAATGTAACACAGCCAAATATAAACTTTTTGAACACTTATGCTCATTAAAAGGAAAAACATCCTAAGCCATTTTTCCAAAGAACATTATAGAAATGTATGAGAAGAGTCCTTGTAGTCAAACAATAGGAATATTTAGACAAAATCTCCAACTGAAATGTCTAAAATAAACTATGTCTGGCTAAAGTGGAAAAATTGATTTGCATCTCTGTTTTTCCACAAGCAATTTCATGTCTACCAAAACCAGCAACCAAGCCCATATCCATGCAGAAAACTTGGCTCAGTTCTGTTTCACAAAAATTGAAGATTCTGTTTGTGAAATTAAAGAATTGTTTCATTTTTTAATTTAAAAAAGATGCAATGCTCATTTTATTTTTAGTAATTAAATAATTAAAACGTTTATCTGAATCAAAAATCCTCATCAGAATTGAAAAGATAATCAGTGCTTTGTTCTAAAGCACTGAACAAACAAAAACCCACACACAGAAATAGTAACACCACAATCTAAAAATTACTGTGTATATTTTTCTTTTATCATTTTCATATCACATATAGGATGTGGATAGCATAAAATTCACTAAATAAAATTAAGATAGCCTGTGTCTGTCTTGTAATATTAGTGCTGGGTTTCAGCCTGCACTGCAGCCCATCTCTGACCACACTGCTTCCTTCACATTGCTCATGCTCCAGGTCTATCTCACAGTAAGCTGGGACACAGTGAAGGGGAGAGAAGAAACTGACTCTATTTGTGATCGCTCCACACTTGTACTTACGGGAACACTTCTCCAGATCAAGTCTGGGATCTTGAGTTCAAAACTAACTTTTGCTACCAAAGTCAATCATGCTTTTAGTGAGCCTTCAGACATATTTTTGGAGAAATCTAGAGCATCTGCAAAGACAACCTTTGGATACATTCAGGAGCCCTAGATTTGTACATCTGGAACCTAACTCCACTGTACCTTATGAATTCTGTGGTGCTTTTTAAGCACTCTTCTGTAAAATTACAAAACTTTTCCAGATCACTTCATAAATGTCAGTCATTCTAATAATTCAACAGAGATTGGTAAATGTTGCTAGAGAATAACACAATGTAGTTCCACATCCTTTCCCAAGGAAGAAATAAAGTGAGATTATAGATGATGTAATGAAGAAGACCAAAAATAGTGTCAGAGTAAGCAAAATGGTTGAATCCCAAAACATTAGGTGAGATGTTTCGGTCCTTTCAAACCTTCCTAATAGCAAAATAAAGGAGAAAAATGTCTTTAAAGAGTGCTTGTCAGATACAGACCACTTAAACAGTAAGATCTAACTTTACTACATGGACACAGTACAGCCCTTACTAGCAACTTGTAATCAGCCTAATTAGGGCAGGTAGAAGGTCCTTTTCTATTTAATGTGTGCTGCACTGGAAGCATTAAACACACAGTTATATTTTTTATCCAAGACATAAGAAGATATTGGAGAAATGGCAAAAGTGAGTGAATTTTGTGCTTGATCTATTAGTTAACAGAAGATATTTTGCTTACTTACGGATCAAAAGCTTTTCCAACCAGAGGCTGGAATTTTTCCTTGAAATCATCGCTTCTTTTTGACACAAGGTGTGGTGCTCTCTTCCTACAAATTACAAAAATAACTGCACATATTTGTTTAAAAATATTCAAAAGCTTTTCAATAATATTTTAAAATATTATTATATAATAAAAAAAACCCAGCAATTCCTCTCAACTTAGTAATTTAAATATCTTGCTACTAAAAATCTTTGCATAAAGATTTAGACGTGCCAAGTGCTGTTATATGGTAAAAGTTATTTGCATAAACTGTACTGATAATCACATCTTGCATTTTCTATTCAGTTTAATACAGCCAAGGATAGGATTGTGAGATGTACAATTTTCTTCATATTTGAAGATCCACTCTTCCTGATAATTCATCCCATTTATTAACTAGTTAACTCATTGCAACTTACGAATCCAGGTCCAAGACCCAGTTTAAGGTCTTGGCTGTATTTCGCCCATCTTCGTAGTGAGGGGTTTCCATTCCATAAACAAAAGACTTGTCAAAGTGTGAGTTATACTTCCTATTGATTGGTTCCCCTGCAGAAGAAGTAGGCATTTCAACCTGTGTATACCACCTAAGGAAGAAAAATGTACCCAGTATCTTCATCAAAATAAAAAGCAAAAACTGCTTCAGTTGGATGTTCTTCTATGTCTGATTAAAGACAAGCCCAACAGAATAAATGAAACCATGTAAGTGGTGAGGGTCATGCATCTACACCTCAGAAACATGCACCATTTGATTTACTGTTTTTAAAAAATGCAAAAATTTTTTGATGTCCTTCATTTTCAGATATACTCTTGCTATGTCTTTTTGTCACAGAGAAAACTGCCATTCTTCAAGTTCTTTTCAACCACCTTTTAAAAAGAATGATACTTAGAACTTTCAAAAAAAATATTATTCATTTCATGTTTTCTAAGAACGGCTTCATAAGGCTGTTTGGCAGCATGGGATTTTTACAATATTGCTGGGGCATATAGCTGACTCTTTTTTTCTGTCACTGTTTCTGACTTGGCCTCTCCATGATCTGGTAGATGGAAGTTACATCAGGAACATTGGAAGAGACAGATAATGAGTAATTCCACTAAAACACCCAAGAAGGCAGGGAAGGAGGAAAACAAAGTTACAGGTTTGGCCAATTTATACCAATACTATTTATAGTAGAATAGTAGAATTTTTCAGTGAGACAACAAAGTACTATAATTTCACATCCATGTAACAGTCTCCACATTGTTGGAACATGAAATAGAAGCCTCTCTGAGTCCCTCAGAGAGAGAAAGGAACTGAAATACATTAAATCACATAGACATGAAATAAGAGTGTAGGTTTTAGTTTTAAGTAGAATATATCTTAAGTGCCTTAAGAGACTGTGTTAGCTAGTAAAAAGACCTAAAGGAATATATCTTAAGTGCCTTAAGAGACTGTGTTAGCTAGTAAAAAGACCTAAAGCCTAGTTTTAAGTTCAGTAGTGTTACCCTTTACATAATTAACTTAGCTCTATACATAACAAAAACATAGCTTGCACTTCTAGATAGAACAGATAAAGCTATTTACGTAAATAAATAATACCTAAAATAGATTTTAGGTACAAACTGACACTACTTTCGTACACCAGAATTAAGTTCAGATTGGTGTAGAAAGAATGTTTTAGAATCATGTCTTTAGCTGATTGGATGCCTTATGAATAAAATCCCCCTGTATTAGGATGAAAAGAGACAACACACGAGGAAGAAGAAAGACAACGCTGCTGCTTCCATGGCTGTTGTTGCTTCTGCTCAAAATATTGAGACTGTACCAGAAAGCTTTTAGCACAGACTTCAATACTCTGAACTCTTTGCCTTCGAGACTGATGCATTCATACAATAAACAACTTTACAACAACCAACTGTTCTTGTCTCTTTGAAGACCCAAGACCCACAAAAAACTCAACACCAGATAAAATTTGTATTTTCAGCCTGTGACTTCAAATCTGAGATTGCTTCCAGTGGCATAGACAATGCCAAACTCAGTAAACAACCAGGGTATTTGTGAGTTTCTAGTTTCCTGGAAATATTTAGCTTTTCAAACAGCTCCCAAAAGAAATCAGGATTTTAACTCCGTGAAGTTCTTATACTGTTTTAAATGCCCATCCTGAAGTGATCAATAGTTTTAGAAACTGCGATCATGCTCTCTCTGTTGCATTTTTTCACATAATTTTTTTTAATAATTTATATTGTATTAATACAGTGGTTAAAATTAATATTTTACATCTCACAAAATAGCACACAGTATGCATGGAACACATGTATAGGAAATTTTTATGTGGCTTCTTATCAGCCTTTTAACTTACCCGCATAATAATCCTCATGTGACAGAACATACAAATTATGTCCTTCTCTCGCTTCTTTATCCACTTCCTCAAAAGTTTTTGGTGGATTTACAAGCTCTCCAGCTGTTAAATCTGGAAACAAATAAAGAATGTATAGTTGGGGGAACTAAGGGGGGGCAGATGTCTTGTGTGGTTTGTTCTTAATTGTAAACAATACCTTGTTAGAGAAGTTGCTAATAGTGCGGAAGGATGATACTTCTTACCACATTTCTAGTCGATCTATATTCAATCTAATAACATAATGACATGGAACTAGGGAGAGAATCACAGAAACCCAGATGAACAGAACTTTTGCAAGAAAGCTACACGGGCAACACAGATGTGATTTCCTCCAGTCTGTGGAGGAAATATACACATGCCAAAGAAGTTTCTTCCATGAGGCCTATTAGAGTTGCTGGGAAAAGGAAGTTGACAGCTACCTAAGCAGTTCTCCCAGGAAGTCTATAAAGACAGATCAGGAAAAGAGCCAAAAGCCCTGCTAGTTACCATATGTTTTCAGCTGCTTGTTTCTTCATTGTAACTGAAAAATTTTAGGCCTTGCAGTAACTGTCATATAATAACTCTTCCCTTAAAACAGAGTTGTTGGAATCATAGAGCATGTGCTAGATAATAAATTGCAGATTATCTTGTATTTACAGAAAATATGTTTTAATGGCACATTTTCCTACCTTTGAAGACTTTTATTCCAAATGTAGTATTGATTATATCCAAGCCCTCAGGTAACTTAGAAGATTGATCATGTGATCTACCCAAAGGTGCTTCACGTTTACTAGAGTAAATTGCTTCTTTCATGTCTTGTATCTTTTCTTGAAATTCACTCTTAGCAACTGGACTTATCAATGAAGCTACCTGAAGACATCACAAACAACAGCAGAGGCAGGAAAACCAACAAACTTTGATCATTCACACATCACTATGACTACCTACACAAACAAAAGTTTGCTCATAAGTGTTGTAATGAGATCTTTCATGGTTACACTGATATAATTTTATCCACTGAGCTGCAAACCAAAACTGTGTCTTGAGAGAAGACCACTAATAACTACTTCTATGCTAAATTTCCAGCTAAATAAAATACTTTCTGTGAGATACTTTTATTATATGCTAGTTCTTCCACTTGTTAATATATACATTTTATTAACTGCAGTCTTTCTTTTCTTAGCACATATTAGAAACTATAGTCAAATAATAATGTGACAAAAATTAAAGTGATTTGATTTTTCAGCCTATCCATCAAAGTAATGGAGATTCTAGAGAAAATTTATTATTAGACTCTCATTAAACATTACATAAAGAAATACTGAAATGCTTAGAAAACTAACTAGGCTTCTGACCCTTCCTACAGATAATATGTAATTAGTAATGCAAAGTCTTTAATAGACAGCGCAGACTAATCCAGTACAGATCCAGTACAGATCAATCCATTCAACAAAAAGCTTCCAAGGAAGGACACCAAAACCCGGCTGTCTTTCATTTTGGATATGCCTAATAATTGTCCTACTCAATATCCTCTAATACTAGGACTTACTTCCTTCATAAAAATACACTTTACTAACACAACTGCTATTTTTAGATATAGGAACATAGCTTTGTGATAAAACTACCAATGATCTCTTCAGCTGTTTGATTACAGATTACAACACAAAATAGTCTGATATATCCAAACCACCACTTTTTAGCTAAAAAAAATCAGTTTCAAGCCAAAGTTAAGAAAGCACACAGAATAATTACACCAAACTGTAAAGACATTCTCAGATAACAGCTCTTTTGCAAGGAGCTTAGATGATTTTATCTCTGTAACCTGGAAAAAGCAAGCAGCAAAATTATTGGGAAGAAGACTGTTCATTAACTTAAATCTTGAAATGAAATTAATAGTTCATTAGTCACTACAAAAATTACATCACTGATAACAGTCACTGAACTTCAAATATTTTCCAGTTTCAATAATGCTAAATAAGTCCTATGATTTGACCTCAGAACTCAGGTAATCCACAGCAGCAGTGAAATGCTGCAGTTTAAATCACTCAGCTATGTACCTTTATCCCTGACTATGAGGAAATCAGCTGCTTTTATTAAGAACACTCTTAAGAGGTTCATTCTTTAACAGGAACAGATGAGTCACATTCTTACAGTGAGTTTGGAGCTTGACTTTATGCCATGTGTCAAGTGAGTTGCAACATCGGGATCATCTGCTGCACCATAGAATATTACTTTAGCACCAGGAGCTGGATCTGTTGTATTTCGAAACTTTCGTACAACAGTCGGAGTAACAGGCTATACGCAAGGCAAAGCAAAAACAAGTTTACAACAGACATACACAAAACGTTAATGAAAAGAAAATGTGCAGACATTTGTGTCATTCCAGATATAACAACAAAATATGAGGATGCTTTAGGGCTGTAGTACATGCATATGCTCCTGCAGAAGCTGATACTGTGAGCATAAGGTCAAAATAACCCAGACTAAATTTTATCAAATCAGCATGGCTAAGTTCCAACACTTCCCATCATTTATTTTTTTTTTTTAATTTGGACAATAGCTACTTCACATGTTCTTGATGAAAACTAGATGTTACACTTATAAATTTCAGAAACCCTTAACCTGATTCACAGAAATTCCACCATCAATGAAGCAATTTTGGAAATTACTTAGACCACAGTGTTGGGGTGTTTTTAACTATCATTTAAAGGGAAACCTGCTATTTACAGATTCCATTTGTGCCTCAGTAGCCCCTGACTCTTCAGGGCCATGGGGAAGGAAGGGCCAGTGGGAATCACAATTCTGGTAGGCATCCTTATAAAGAAGAACCTGCATCAGAAGTAATAATTCCCCAAAATTACTCCAATTTCATTACCAGAGGGAAAAACTGTCTAAAACAAATTATATTTATTCCCAACTAAACAAGCATGGTGACTTTTGTAAAACATGTGAAAAAAAAATGGACTGCCAGAAGTGTTTTCCAGTCCTGCCAGCTAGGCTCTATAATTCCTTATGACAAAAACCAACAATGAAATAAATGCTAGTCTCAAAAGAGAAGTGATGTAGAAAAAACACTGAAGCCTCTACAAAATCAACTCACCCTGGGTACCACCTCTTTGAGACAACTCGCAACCGTGTTTCCTGCAGGACGCAACTTTCCAGCCTAAACAATGCAATAAAAAAATAAATAACGCCTGACGAACTTCATTTTACTAATACACACAACTAGTCAGACTGGGATCTGACATTACGGACGGGACCTTGTCCAACTGTCCCCGTTCTGATGGGGGTGGGAAGAAGCCGCACCCATTTCTGGGAGAGAGGGGACTCGCAGTGAGGGAGCTGCGCCTTCCCCTGCCACACACTGTCCCTCTTCCAGCCCCTTCCCTCGGCGGGACTCCGCCCTGGAAAGGCACAGACTAGCGGGGGACAGCTCCGCGGTACCGGCGGGACCTTTTCGTGGAAGGCACTCACGTTCGGCATCTCCGGAGCCCCGTCGAGGGCCGTCTCTTCGGGACAGGGCCGTGGCTGCTCCGCCATGGCCACCGCTTATTCTGCTCGCTCGGTAACGGCGTTGGCGGCGGCGCCGGGAGCGCTCGTGCGAGGCGGGCGGTGTGGCCGCCGCTCACAGTGCTGCGCCATCCCCTGGCACCCAGCGCCCCCCGTCCTGCCCCTCACAGCGCTCCGCCATCCTTCTCGCACCCAGCGCCCTCCATCCTGGCCCCTCACCCAGCGTCCCCCTCTTCCCTCACAACGCCCCGCCGTCCCACTCACACCGGCGCCCATTTCTTCTCCCCTCACAGCGTTCCCTCCATCGCCTTCAGCGCCCGCCACGTCCATTACATCTCACACCCCTCGGCGAAAGTCAGGAAATAAATTGCATTGGGCTGTTCCGTAAATGTCATGATCTAGAAAAATAATTAAGGCCCAGAGGTCCCATATTTCTTAGAACGATTGTTAAATCTTTAAAAATATACCGGCTTTCAGATAGGCGGGTTGAATCTTGAGGTCGAAAGGACGTCTTATACGGTCAGAAGTTTGATCAAAGTTTCAATCTTTATTACTGTAATAAAAAATTCTGCCCCTTTCACCGATGTCACATTAAAATATGTCATATTAAAATATTGTATGCTGGGGCTGTTCCTCTAGAGAAAACTGCCGCTCCCACCCACACACAGCATGGAGGTGGGTGAGAGAAGCCCTTCAGCACTACCCCAGACACGTGAGTGCTCTCACTGTTTGTCTTAAATGAGTCAACACCTCGTATATCTAACCCACTGTATTTGATTTTTAGAAACAAATGTGGATTATTTCAGAAAAGCAGCGTGGGTAAGACTGAACAAGTTTCACCACTGTTTAACAGACCCTCAGTTCTTACAAAGGCTTTTATTCTCAGATGACATTTAACAAACTATCCCCTTCTTCCCAGCAAAACATCTCCATTTAATCACATCCTGTTCCATTCTCTGTGGTAAAACAAATTTTAGATAAATATACAAACCTTAATCATAATTAATCAAACTATTACCAGGTGTTGCCATTTTATTCTCTGCTCTAACATTTGTTTGGTAAGGACTTTAAATGAATGATGCTAAATTAAAACTAAATTCATTTCCTACAAATGGAAGGTGAGAGGCTCCAGCAGTTACTGCTGTGTGATGATCTGCTCCAGCTGTCCAAGTTGCCAACAATACTTGTCAGTGCCATGATCCATGAACTTCCAGCACATACATATGTATCTTCGTCTTCTCCAGGCAGAACCATCATGTATAGCATCAACTATGATCTAGCTGTGGCAGTGCTGGTGCCCTTTTTCAAAAGAAGTTATGTGTTTTTCTGCTGTAGACATGTCTGCACCACACCCCTAATATGGAACATCCACATCACTTGGGAACTAAAGAAGCTCTTGTAAAGTCTTAATGTGTTCAGTTATTTTCATATTTCAATCACATTTGTTATTGCTTGAAGTTCAGAGTGTTCCTACCAAATAAAACAATAATTCTTGGTAGTTTAATAAATAAAATGATTGGTTATGTCTTGCCTTGTGATCCATTCATCTGCAAAGTGTAATTTCTATCTAGTAGAGCTGTCAGAAGGAAGAACTGTTTATAGAGAGGAAGAGCAAAGTACAGTAATGTAAAAATTAGATAGTAATAACAGGGTGCAGGAAACTGGGACTTTTTATCCCAGGATAAAATTCAGGAAATGGAATTTTTGCCCTTGTGTTTGTTGTATGAGATGGCTCTCTACCTGTGCTCAAGGTGCTATCATTTTTATATATTCTGTGCATTGATGATTTATTTTTGCCTTGTTTTTTCCCCAGTAGGTGGCCACACTTGCTAATTGAAAGCATCCACTCAGCCTCCATGGAGTGGGTTTTGTCAAAGGCACAAAAATAGAATTTGGACATGTAAAAAGTGCCTATTGCAGAAACAAGTAGAGCAGAAGTCCACAGCCTTCTTTTTTTTTTTTTTTTTTTTTTTTTTTTTGCCTCTCTGTGTTTCTTTTCTTTTTTGCAGAAATGTGGGTTCCCTATAAATCAATTTGAAACCTACTGACAATATATATTCTTTCCTATAATTCTTCTCATTCTGGAATCAGTGTCATATCCATTCTTTCTTATACTGAAAGTTATTTTGGCCACAAAAGAATATTTGTGGAGTGGGAAGGACCTGTAATTTATAGATAAGATGATGAATTAACAAAAAACAATTGAACTCAATTTTAAGGAAAAATGGATCAAAACTTTCTTTACTTCAGCATTAATTTGTCATCTCCTATGTCAAAACTAGGATCTCTAGAGAAAGCTGTTTGGAAAAAGTTGAACAAAATTTTCCATTCTACAGCAGCACTTTTTTTTCCTCAACAGTACTTGACATTTCACTAGTTTCTGACATCCAATCCCCACAACCCAATGCCTTTTTCTGTCCTGTTTAAGCTAAAACAGAGGAATGGAAACTAAAGCCCTGCATTTTACTTTGCTTAAGGGGTGCAAACACCCCATGTTCTGCAACACAGCTCTCGCTCTGACTATGGTGCTGGCATAGATCGGAGTCAAAGCACTAAGTTTGTAGATTCCTTTAGGTCCCTGAAGGCCAGAGAACTCCGTGTAAAACACTGCAAATGTTGCAAAATGTCTGGATTACGGCAGCCATGTTGATGCACTTTGCTGTTACTTTGCCTGGTTGCTTTCATGTTTTTTTATTCGAGTAATTTATGTATAGCAGGTGACTGTTTTTTATGTGCTACACCCCTTCTGTATGTAATTATATGACCACGCCAATGTAGGTACAGAGAAAATGTACACAAGTAGAGAAGACAGAAAAAAAGAATGTTAAAGAAAAACAAAAATTGGGAAGTTCAAACACAATAAAAAGATTCTGTACGTCCTCTAAAGTCAACGTCCACTTATTATTACATGTCTAGCATTAGATTTAAACACATAATATTAAAACTCTGCAGAGAAATACTAAAATAGATGGAAAGCCACCTGGTGAAACCATGACCCACTAACATAAATTTGTTAATATCACCCAGTACAGTTTCATTTTTGGTATATGATATATGAACCATGATGAAATAAAACATGAAATCATGACCACCAGTAGGGGCAATCTGTGTGATTTCAGAGGTTTCCTTCAACATCTTTTTGTGCAGACTACAACAGAAGAAACTTGTCTTCACCACTAGAATTCACATAGACCTGTCAAGCCTGAAATACAGTAACTGGAACTTGGTCATTTGATTATTGCCACATTCTTTTGTGCCTCTATTTCACACATTCACAGTGAACCATTGGTGTTTGCTGTTGCATTCTGTCAGCATCAACCAGATGTGAGCAATTTGGGTATTAAACAAAGCAAGGGAGATGTGCTACAGCTCTGCATTGCAGTCAGAGTTAAGTTAGACAGCAGGAACCTCCTGGATGTAAAACATGCTTCCTAACAGCAACTGTATCATGTGAATAGAATTCCTGAATCAAAAATTCCACTTAGCCTTGAACTAAAGATACATCTGATAATCTGAAAGATTGTTTAAATTTTATAAAGTATTTATTTATATTAGAAGCATAGATAGTGATCTTTACATATGGAATACTATAGTCCTTTATTTTATAAGATTAAGTAAAACACAAAGTGTCATGTATGACATGTTTAATCTCTAAACTGAATTTAGTTCAAGTAATTCTTTGAATTAATCTGAATTTAATCAAGTAATTCTAAAGATTCAGTGTAATATTTTTCCACAAAATCTGTACATGTGTGTTCTGTATCTGGCTGAGGTGGAGTTAATTTTCTTCATAGCAGCCTGAATGGTGCTGTGTTGTGGATTTGTGACTAAACTGCTGTTGATAACACAGCAATACCTCAGCTACTGCTGAACAGTGCTTGCACAGGGTGAGGACTTTCTCTTTTTCCCCACTTTGTCATCAGCCCCACTCAGGCAGAAATGCTGCTGATGATCCAGAAATGTGGGAGTGGAATACAGCCAGGACAGCAAACCCAAACAGATCGAAGGGATATTCCATCTCACACAGCATTACGCTCAGCAATAAAAAATGGAGGTAGACAATGGAGATGTCTTACAAGTTGGCTGCTGGAGACTGTCTGGACACTGGTCTATTTATGAGAGGTAGCCAGCAATTTCTTTGTATTGCCTTCTCACTTCCACTTTCCTTCATCTATTACACTGTCTTTGTCTTAAGCCATGAGATTTCCTGCTTTTGTTCGTCGTGTTACGTTCTCTTACTGCAGGGAGGTGAGTGAGTGAGTGAGTGAGTGAGCAGCTGCCAGCTTGACTGGATGCTATCTGGTGCTCCAATGCATGCCTATCAGGTGTGTAGTAAAACATATTTGGTTATCAGGAATCTCCTCTTTGCTCAGCAAATCCTGAAATCCAGTTGAACATATTGAGACCAGTCAGAGGGTTATGACAAATAAGCAGTGTATTAGGGCAGTATTACATGATTTAAAGGACAACTCTTACAAACATTTAGCAAACTCACAGCTTAAAAGATTTTGGATACTTTCAAACATGTTTCTCTGGAGCTAGTCTGGCACTCTGTATCACTGGTGAATGCAAAGACTATTGTACTTTCTTTGAAGCTACATATTGGCCTTTCACAAAGCACTTATGTAAGTGATCAACTTAATAAAGCAGAAAGGGGAAATTGATACTCTGAGAGTAAACTGGTACCAACAGAAAAGTGTATGAAAAAGAAGTGATGAAGATTAAGAGAACATTGTTTTCACTCCATTCACTTCAGTATGTTAAAGTATTGAAATGTCATTCTAGGGAAGGGCAAAGTAGCATAATACTGACCACAGGCTTTACATAACTTGATTTCTGCTTTATTTAAATATATGTGGTTGAACTAAAACATATATTTTAAGAATACAACAATATGACTTTGATTATTTCCTGTGATGGAGTATCTAACCAACCTTCATTAAATTGTACCAATTACTAAATACCATTATTGATAAACTTACTGAATGTCTTACCAGTTTGTTTGTTTTATTATTTCTTTCGAATTCCAACTTTTAGACCTTGTTAAAGGTGCTATACCGAAGAAATAC